CTCCATATTTAGGACCATGTCTTATATTTACAAAATATAAGAAAGCATTTTCAACTTACTCATTTAGATAGGAGTCTTGTCTGCTATTACAAAAAAAAAAAAAAGACACTTACCTTCTAACAACAAAAATCTCATTATACTTTCTTACTCAGAATATCACCTTCTTTCCCATACAGAGTATAGGCTTGCTTTCTTTCAGCTCTGCTCTATTTCTAGAACTTCAGACTAATTCATTTCCCTTGATGTTGAATTCCTTTTCTTTCTTGGTCTTACTGAGGTTTCTTACCTCATATCCTCATTTCTCACTCTTTTGAAACTGCCATCTTGCTTCCTGGTTTCCTACCACCCCACTATTCCAACGCCAGACACCCAGCTCATTTACTCTAAAAAAATAAAATTCAGCTGAGACAAAACTAATTTTCATTTACATGAAGGTGTATCTGTAGCTATCCCATTTAAAAACTGCTCTGTCATGGTCTTCCGCCACTGACAAAGATAGGCAAGAAAACTCTTCCTAAAGTCAAGGTCACAAAGAATAACTGCTATACCCCCAACCACATTCATTCAGCAATACTCAGCATCCTCCCTGAATTGTCTATAAAAACCAACAGTTCAATTCTCAAAGAAAGTGAACATGATGCTTCCTGAAGACATTCTCTAGTCTCCCCACAGCAGACTTTAAATGGAATTATTATCTAGAAGAGGAGGAGGGAAATTCAAGCTGGCACAAGCCCTTCTTTATAACCCCCACCTCAGTCCCAGACTTCTAACAGCCCTCAGAGTTGCTTTATTTACTTAGGACAGATATACAAGACTGATATAAGATTGGCTCCCAAGAATCTTTAAAGGACTCCAGGATCTATGCCTCCCCATTTTGCCTGTTCAATTTCAGCTGGAAAATATTTAAACATTGTGTTCATTCTTTTTCTTTTCTCCCTTCTTCAAAGAACTAAATTCATCTCAAGCTGTATACCATTGACTCCACAACTAAGGATGTTTTCTCTACCACTTCAACTTATACAATATAAGATACATTAACACAAAAGCTACTCAAAGCCCACTGACCTTCCCATTGAAAGTACCACCACTCTCCCAACCTGCTTTTCACCCCTTTCTAGACTGACTGCCACTACCTATTTCTGGCCCTATGTGTCCACAAATACATTACACAAACAGATTCATTTTCCCAATATACAGCTATGTACATGTTAATTCCCTTCTAGCAAATCTCAGATTCTCCATTCTACCTGTTTTAACTATAAACTATGGTACAGGATAGTTAAGATTCTCTTAAATATGACGACCTTATCAAATAAGCATTCCCTGAGCACTCTGTCTATATAAAACAATACATCCCTGTCTTACTTCACTTTTCTTCATAGTACTTGTGACCACCTGATATATGATTAATTGCTCACATTTGATTGTGTCCTTTTACTAGAATATACTCTCCCATGTTCACCAGTGTATCCTCAGCAACCTAGAACATAGCAAGCTCTAAGTACATATTCGTGGAAAGGGATGGATGAACACACAGACATGCAGCTGAGCTTAGGTTAGAACGTCTACCTTTGAGTTACAGTTTCCACATACCAGCTATATGATCCTCAACAATTTTAACTTCTTTGAGCTTATTTTCCTCATTTGTAAAAGGAAGAGGTCAAACTCTAAACTCTTCCAGCTGTAATCATGCTACATTCTTGTCTAACTGGACCAAATGCCTCTCCACTCCCAACCTCCCTATTCATGTAACTCTGCTCAGTTTCCTTACATCTGGAATCCCCTCTTCTCAATCCACATCTGTCAGAATATTGTTCATCCTTAAAGCTCATTTTCAGTGTCATTTTCTTCTTAAAGCCTAACATACTGTAAGCTACGTAAGAGGAGGGTGGAGTTCTTACTTTTCTATTCCCAGACATTGGTACAATGCCTACCAGACAGATGACCAACAAAACAACTGGTGAATCATGAGCATATGAATGAGCAAATAAACAGAGGAAGCCCTTCCTGATTCCCCCCAATTGCTCAGGTAATCTCTTGCCTTTGGACCAAACACTTTTATGATACTTATACTCTATTCTGTGCCATTATTAATTTACTTGCCCCACAGACAGACACTAAACTGCAGATTCCTTAAGATTAACCACTACTCTGATGGTTTCCATATCCCCCTACAGCGCCTACCACAGATCTTTGTCATAGCTGTAATTATTAAGTTTATCTGATATATTAAACAATACAAGGATAACTGAAGAGAAAAAGGGCTTCAATATACAGATATCATTTCAACTGCCCTATGGTCATGGGGCATACATGTATTGTTAAGCTCAGTCATTCAGGCATAGTTCAAAGATCTCATCATTCCCTCCTCTCCATACTATGCTTAATATAAAACTATTACTACTCACAAAACCAGAACAGTCACCTTAGGTATGTATCATGTAACTTTACACCTCTTGCAATATCCATATAGGGATCCACACATTAATACTTTCACTTCACCAAACAGCTACAATGACTTTCTGCTCATTTCAGACTTCTACCCCATCCAATTCCCTCCTCCACAAGGTATGAAACCACTTTTTTTTTAAAAAACATCTTCTCATAGGGCCTGCCTTTCTTAGTTCTGCTCCTGAGACAAAAAGGAGTTTTAAGGTCTTCCTCTTTTCTAAGTAGTAGCAACTCCCCAATTCATCTCAGGCTCTAACAACCTTTTTCCCTGCCGTCAAGATTTTTGACCCCTTTTTACCTCTACCTCCAAGCTCTTATTCTGCTTCCATGGAACCTTTCTGGTTGCACAATAGTGGTGTCTTTCCATTCAATATGCTCTCCTCATCATGTACTAAGTTCCAGTGTCTCTGCATCTTCTTCCTGAAATGTGCATCAATCGCCGCCCTCCCCCAACCCCAGACACACACCTCACATACACACACATATACGCTGCACCCATGCGTCACTCTACCTCAGACATACAAGTTCCTTACACCACTGGTAAAGAATGTACACGACTCTCAGAATGGTATCTTCCGACACTATACTGATTCTAACCCAGTTTCTTCTGGAGAACCCAACCTCGTCCATAGTACCTCCCCCTTTCCTCACTTCCCCATCCATTCCCCCTTTTCATTCCCCCCACCAGCCCGAGAACTACCTACAGATGACATTATTCCTCAGTACTCCCAACCAGAGAATGAAGAACAAGCTCCAGTTTCCTGCAGTCTCTCCCCCTCCTCGGTCTCCCACAACACTCCAGGTGTGCAGACTTCCTCCCCGTCCTCTCCTCACGCATCGCTCCAGCCAATCCCACGCCACACCACGATTCCTCCGCCAGGGGATCAGACTTCTCCACACCCACCTCCACTCGGGGTCGCCGCCGCCTCCCCGGGCGCTTCCCCCACCCCTAGCCAGCGAGGCTGAGACCCCGGCGCGCGCGCGTACACATTCTCACGCTTCCCCAACCTCCCTTCTCGCACCAGGACCGGCCGGCTTCCCCGGGGCTCAGCCTGGCCGGCAGGAGCTAGGCACCCGAGCAGGCGTGTGTGTGCCCGCTCCGCCCCCTCCCGCAGAACCCTCGCAGCCCCCGCCTCCCCGCCCGGCGAGAAGAGGACGCAGTAACTCCCCCGCCACCCCGGACGTACCACCGCTGTGTCTGTTGCTCCATGCTCCAACCCTCGGCCCGCTCCCTCTACGTACAGGGCCGGCCTCGGCACTCACCGGAGATACTGCGCGCTCTGCAGGCTCATCCTCCGCCGCCGCGTCTTCCCGCGAAGCCTCCGTGGGTCTCTCAGGCTCCTCGGAGCGGCCCCGCGGCCCCGCGGGTGCTGGCGGCCGCCGCCATCTTCCTCTCCTCCGGCTCCTCCTCGCTCGGCGGGGGAGGGGGGTGAATGAGGCGAGGGGGAGGGAGCGGGGAAAGCTGCTCTAGCTGCTGCTCCGGCCCGTGGGGCGCAGGGACACTCCGACCCGGGAGGGGGAGGGGGAGGGAGAAGGAAAGGGGGCGGGGGAAAGAGGAGGGAGAAGCAGAGGAAGGAAGTAGGGGTCCCTCTCGCGAGATTTCAGCGGCGCTGGTCCCTCCCGGTGATTTCCGCCTATCGGTAGCGCTCCCTCTTGGGATCGGCAAGTTGCTTGGCCCCTGTGCAGCTGCTGAGGGACCTCTTGGTGGCGTTTGGAGGCTTTCTGTCAATCCACCCCTCTCCTCCCGTGCGAGGGGGCAATCCCAGCCTCACCGGGAACATCGAGCCCAAATCAACCAGGAGTTACACTCAGAGTCTTCCCCTGTCCTTCCACTCCACCCGATTTCTCTCTTCCTTTTTCCACTCCTCCACTGTTCCCCACCGGAAACACCGCCCCTTCCTCCTACAGTTCCGCCCGCCAGTCCCTGGACTCTCGTCTTCCCTCGCGCGCTAGGGAGTGACGCGAAGAACCCCCTCCCCTTCGCTGCGGCCCCTCCCCAAGCACGCTGAGAGATTGTTGGAGGGGATAGGGTGGAGCCCAGGGAAGAAAAGAAAGGAAATCCATCGGATTGGATAAGTAGCTGCCATGACAACTGATGGCTGTGGTTGTATTGCCATAGTAACTGGTGTGCGCTGACAGGGTGACCCTCCCCTTAGCGAATGGATTCCCGGGAAACCGCCCAGGGTTCCCCCTTGGCTTCCCTTCCATCCAAAGGCCTTCACCAGGTTGGAATCGAGGTATTTCTCCCGGGTGGTGAAGTCCATTTGCTCCTCCCTTCTCCCTTCTCCCTTCCCGCGGCAACTGGCGGGGAGACCCCGAGGCATTCACCCTGGGCTTTCCACCCGCCCGCGAGCGGGAACCAATTCCATAGGTTCGTTTCAGAGCCGGACGTGGAGAGAGCTTGGCCTGTGAAGAAGATGCAGGGCTGGAAGGCTGGCGGGCGGCGGGCTGGAGACCGGAGGGCGAGGCGGCAGCGCTAGGCTTCGAGGAAGGGCAAGGGGTTTCCCCACAGCTGCCTGGAGCTCTGGGAGGCGGGATCCCTCCCGGACGGGGTCCCTGAGGGAGGAGAACGGCACACGACAGCCACGATCCCTCTTCTGCCAGCGGGGACTTAAGACTTTATCTGGCGGTTGACCCCTCCCCAAAATCTACCCCATCCAGCATAACTCCCTCCCGACCGAGCGTCCACGAGCCTGCCGAGAGGAGGCCAGGGTGAGGGTGGGGAACATATCCTAGAAGGCTAACAAGTGGTTTTCAAGCCTTTAGAACCTGGACGAGCGGAGAGGCTTACTATTGCCATCCCTCTTAGAGACACCCCCCAGTGGGGATCCGGCTTGATTATTTTTCTTTTTTTTTCCCCCGTTTTTTTGTTTTTGTTTTCGTTTTTAATCCTGCCCACTATACCACGAGAGACCACTTGATTATTAAAGGCAGACCTCCAAGTTCCTCCCTCCTCGACAACCTTTCTCCTTTCACGGGTCTGCAGTGTTTTACAACTTGTCACTCTGTATCTTTTGGGTTAAAGGGGTAAACATTGGGTAAAATAGTATCAAGAACCCTAGATACACTGGCAAGAAGGCCGATGACAGGAGTCCAAGAAGACTTCTCATTCTTAGAACAAATCTTTTTGAATGTTATGTGTATTTTGTCAGGTTTGGGGCTAAAAAACAGAATGGGGTCAATAGTATGGAGTATGAAAAAAACCTGGATAAGTCGATATTGTGATGGCTTGAAATATTTGACATTTTACGAATTTTATTTTCGATTCATATTGTGGAGTCATTTAAGCAGCTATCCCAAAGTACTTTAGGGTATGTAAAGGTATGAAACCTTCCAAGAATGCAGCCCTCATTGGATAGTTAAAGTCGGGTTTTTAATGAGCTGTTTAGATTTGGTTTGGTTTGATTTGAATACCTGATTCCTGCTGTCTTTCCATGCCAGCTGAAGAGGCACTTTCAAGATAGATACTTCCCTGAGACCGCCCCTATTAAAAGACTGAACCAATGTTCATTTGGAACATCACGTATGTTTGGAGGAAACGAAAGTAGAGCCTACTTTGAAATAAATCTCAAGGACAGATGGTCATTAACGAAATAGAAAGTGTGCTTTGCCCCTCACGCTGCAGACGCGTGGTATGACGCGGCGTGACGCTCAGTGATTGCGTCAGTACAATGCCCCGTAGCCCCGCCCCGCGCCGGCGCCGCCCGCGGGAAAGAGAGCCACCTAGTGAGGGATGATTCGCATCTCTGGTGTAGGAGCCTGCCTTTCCCCAACCCTGAGAGCCCAAGGGTGGAGATTACTACTCCCTATTACTTCAAATATCCTACATTTCTTCCCTGAAGTTTATTGGTTAGATGTTTAAAAGATTTTTTTTTTTTTGTGACAGTCTCTGCTGGATGTTTAAAAGATTTTAACCAGAATAAAAATTGTATGTCATAATTACCCTTTTACTAATAATCGTAATAACTTTTTATGTCTGTGGTAAATATCTCCAGTAAACAGCATATGAGCAGATATACACTCCTGATAAGGAATCTAGGAAAATATTATCTTCTAATTTTGGAAATATAGAAACTGGGATCAGAAAGATGAATCTTTTTGTTATGGTTTGCTGGTTTGTTTATTCAATAAACATTTACTGAGCATTTATTATATTTCAGACACCATCCAGGTTACTATGGATACCACAATGACATGGTCTCTGTTTTTAAGGAAACTGCCTTCTGGTAGAGATATCAGAGTAGAGAAGTGATGAGGATGCAGTATGATGGATTCAGTAATTAAGGTATGAGCAAAGTAGGAACACAGATGAGGTCAGAAATAAGAAACTTTGCATTTTATAGTAGCTTTCCTAAGACTTTTATAAGCTTCTTCAGTAATTTTATATCACTATAAACTAGATAAAAGAATAGTAACATAATTTACAGATTAGAAGACATGATGCTAATCTTAAAAATAACTTTCAAAAATCAATAGGATTCAGAAAAATTATGACCTGGAATTTACATACTGCTTAATACACATTTTCCAATCTCATCTCTTTCTACCCCAATCAACAGACTTGTAGAATACAGATATCTTTTTGCAATAGATTTTATTCACATTTTTTCACTGTAGATAGAGATTATATCAAAACCAAAAGAAATTAAAGAGAAGCTGCCTCATTTCCTTTAATCCTACCTGATTTTAAGTTTTTTGGTTTGTTTTTTTGGCTAAGTGATTTCATGGAAAGATCATAAGGTGACAAACTTGAGTGTGCATTCCAATTGTGCCATCTCAGTATCAGTTTGCTTCTTGACCAAAATGGAAACATTACCTATTGTCGGCTTCCTGTGACCTTTAATGATAATATACATGACTGGGTATATAAGTGCCTGATATACAACACTAGCACATAGTAAATTTTAATTTTTTTCTGCTTATTTATATCAAGCTAAAATGAATAATTTAGAACTACTACAACATAAAGTTATTTTTAAAATAATAGTCTATCTAGCCTTTGTCTACAATACTCATAGGTCTGACCACAGACCACCCAAATCTATTGTTGTTCAGTACTAGGAGATAGATTTCTTTATCTGTGACTCTCATTACAGAAAAGAATACAATATCAGGACATTGTGAGTCAGATTCCAAAGGTTTAAAACTTTTAAAAAATGTTTTATCACTACAAAACACTATTTCACTAATAAAATCACATTTCTGGTCAAGTAAATAGAGTGGCCTCTTTTCAATCTACTACTGAGTACTTGCTGAGAAGATCCTCTTAACCTTTTTACCAAGTTTATCCATAGCTTCAGTAACCTGACAATTAATATATAGTAAGCCTCCTCCCTATTTATAATAATAGACATCTCACCTGTTCCCTAACAAGCACTAATTTATTTTAATCTTTAGCCTACATACTCTGAATGTTTCCAAATCTTGTGCACTATTAGGCATTTAACAAATATTTTTCTGTTTTAATGAGAATGATTTATCAATTGCATACTCAAGTATACAATGTATGTATAGCTAGCCCATACTCTCTAGTACCACACCTCAGACTATAGAGTTAAGTGATTCAATCAAGTGAATGATTCAGTCTTTTCAAATAGTGACTCAGATACAAATTGACATTTAAACTCAGGTCTCCAATTGCTCAAGATTTCTTAGATCAAGGGTCCATCAGCCTTCCTCAAACAATTTGCCAAGTGTATATTTATTCATTCTCTCCTAAGAGGGAGTCATTTAGCCTGAAGAATAATCAGGAAGCATTGTAACAAAAAAAGAAACTTCTGGTTTGGGAGGCAATGAGGCCACACTTGGGTAATGATAGTTAGAGCTCTCTCTTTCTTCCCCTTTTTCCACTCTCCTAGTATTTACTAAGGGAAACTTTATTATCTTCAAGGTTTCCCCCAACTCCCAATAAGAGAATACCTTTAAGCAATTACCATACACCCAATCTTATCTGCTCATTTAATGAACACAGACAATGCAGAGAAGACAAGAAGAGATGGTCGTAGAGAAGACTAAAGAGTATATGAAAAATAAAATAAAAACCTAAGCCTCTCTAACTCTATTGACAGAAGGCCTTAGTGCTCATGCGTCTCTTTAGTACCCCAAGCATAGTACTACCAAAGTCATTTTGGAATCCTTAATCTAAAATCAATATATTTTATGTCAAAGTCTATTGAGTTACCCAGAAGCTGCCATTTTTTTCTTAAAACACTGAACGAAAAGAACATAATCTTTTAATATTTTCTAGTCCCTACATTTCTAATTTCTATAGGGTAGATACTATTTTTGAGCACAGAGAATGTAATACTGATATACATTATCATAAATCTGTTCTTCAAAATCATGATAAACACAAGTAACATACACATACACCTTCCTCTTTTTCCTGCAATTATTATTTATCTTTTCCATTTACAATTCAAGCTAAAATGTGATAAAAATGAAAAGCAAAGAAACTTAAGACTTATGTTCATCACTTCAGGGCATAATAGGAATATGTACCCAAGCATTGTTTTGCTTTGCCTAACTCTCCCAGGGTCTTTTTTATTCTCCAAAATCTACATAACAGAAACCTGGATGATTTGTAAAAATTCTTTTTTTTTTGAGACAGAGTCTCGTGAGTGCCGTGGCATTGGCCTAGCTCACAGCAACCTCAAACTCCTGGGCTCAAGTGATCCTTCTGCCTCAGCCTCCCAAGTAACTGGGACTACAGGCATGTGCCACCATGCCTGGCTAATTTTTTCTCTATATTTTTAGTTGGCCAATTAATTTCTTTCTATTTTTAGTAGAGGCAGGGTCTTGCTCTTGCTCAGTCTGGTTTCGAACTCCTGACCTTAAGCGATCCTCCTGCCTCAGCCTCCCAGAGTGCTAGGATTATAGGCATGAGCCACCGAGCCTGGCCTAAAAATTCTTAATATAAGCCAGGCATGGTGGTGAGTACCTATAGTCCCAGCTATTCAGGAAGCTGAGGTGGGAGGATTGCTTGAGCCCACGAATTAGAGACTAGCCAGGACAGCATAGAGAGGCTCCTATCTCTTAAACAAACAAAAAAATTTTCTTAATATTAGTGGATTAAGATATAAGAGCACATCTCAGAACAAATTATATAGTAAATTAATGTGTCCCTATATTCCACATTTTAGCCATATTGAGCTTTTTTAAAAGTTTTCTCCATTAGGCTTTAGATCTCCATTGGTTTTCCATTACCCTTAGGATAAAGTTTCCAATCTTTAAGATGACCTATGTGTTCTAGCCTCTGCCTGCCTCTTTTCTAACATCCCTCCTCACCCCCAGGATCACCATTCTAGCTATAGTGACCTTTTCTTGGGTGCTTAAATAGGCAGTGTTCTTTTCTACTGAGAGCCTTTACATAAGTTCTCTGTCTCTAGATAACTCTTCTCCCCAGACTACTCTTCTCTCTTCTCATGCTTCAAGCCTAAATCTGACCTTCTTTGGAAAACCCATTTCTATTTCCGTACCCCCCAACATCAGGGTAGGTTAACTGTGCCTGTTATGCGTTCCCATAGCACTCTGCCCTTCTTCGTGGCATTTGTCATATTTGTAATTCTTTGTTCAGTGCCCATTACCTCTAATTGTAAGCTCTCTCAGGGTAGACACTGTGCCTGTTTTGCTCACTATTGTATCATTGCTCCCGTAACAGAATGCCAGATAGAATGCTCAATAAATGTTTGTTGAATCAATGAATTAAATAAAAAAACAAATTAATAGAAATTTGGACCATGGCTTTCCTATAAATGCTTAAAATTCCTGACTACCTTACTAAGGAATATTCTCTTCTCTTTCTTTCTTTTCTTTTTTAAAGGCTAGTCAAGTGGAGCAGTGGGAATGGAGAAGGAACAGAGGAATCTGTAACTGGTTATGATCAATCAGTTGTAAATACCACTGCACTTGGACCAACCATGAATATTCTCTAGAAGTAATCCCTAAGTAGTAAGAAAAGAATTTTACTGGGCATTCAACTAAACTGGGTATTTGAAATCTGCTATTGTATTTAATACGATGAAAGTTTTAATTAAGTGAAATTTACTCAGGCAGTGAGTAAAGAGCACATGATAAGATTAAGGATAATTCATCAATTATCTCACAGCGAAGTCTCAGAATTCAATGTAGAAAAAATAGTCATCAACATAACATCCAAATCTTTTTTGGAGATAAGGTCTTGCTCTGTTGCCCAGGTTAGTGTGCAGTGGTGTCATCATAGCTCATTGCAACCTTGAGCTCACAGGCTCAAGCAATCCTCCCACCTCAGCCTCCTGAGCAGCCGGGATTACAGGCATGTGTCACCACACCTGGTTAACTTTTTTATTTCTCATTTTGTAGAGATGGGGTCTCACTGTGTTGCCCAGGCTGGTCTTGAACTCCTGGCCTCAAGCGATCCTCCTACCTGGGCCTCCCCAAATGTAGGGATTACAAGTATGAGCCAATGTGCCTGTCCCCAAATCATTTTTATTTAACTTTATGTTTTCTTGCCTGTAATCCTAGCACTCTGGGAGGTCAAGGCAGGTGGGTTGCTCAAGGTCAGGAGTTCTAAACCAGCCTGAGCAAGAGTGAGACCCTGTCTCTACTAAAAACAGAAAGAAATTAATTGGCCAACCAAAAATGTAGAGAAAAAATTAGCCAGGCATGGTGGCGCATGCCTGTAGTCCCAGCTACTTGGGAAGCTGAAGCAGAAGGATCACTTGAGCCCAGGAGTTTGAGGTTGCTATGAGCTAGGCTGATGCCACTTTAGCCCAGGTGACAAGACTCTGTCTCCAAAAAAAAAAAAAATAGAAAGGAAATTGGATCAGGATATAGAATGGAAAGCTCAGTGGTCTCTATTTCTCACCAGAAAAGTGTTTATAAATTCTAGCATTATTATTTTTATTTTTTTTCTCCCATAAAGGGATAGGGCTAAAACAAATTGAATGTAAGATTCTTAAGGAAAGGGCCATATCCAATTTCAATGTAAATGCAATAATTAAATTATGTTTCTGGAGGCAAGTTCTCCAAGTTCAAATCAATTAAATAATGTAAGTGACATACACAGCAGTGCCTGGTACTTAGGAGACACTCAACAAATGGTACGGCTCTTATATTTAGAAGGTGAATAAGAACTTCATACACACTCTAATTAATGGAGGTTTAGCTTGTCTTAAAACACAAACACAAAATGCTGTAGAATTGCATTTGTAGAGAGGGAGGTACAAAGCATACTGCCTTAAAACTACACGACCAGTTATTTCATATGACCAAGTATAAATTGCCAAGAGAGAAAACATCTCTCATCTCTTTGTGGAAGATGTCTCAGTTCATTAGCTGTTTTATGTCGAATGAGAAGAGATCCAAGATAGGGTTCAAAGCTAAAGAGGATAAGGAGGCTCATAGAAGCAAAAAACCAGATCCTTATGCTTTCCCCTGCCCTCTTTCAAACTAGCATATTTAGCATGGCTCTGGCTTGCATGCTGTCTTGCCCTCACTCTCCAGCATTGGCTGTAATGTTTCCATTGTGGTCCTCTAAGTTGTCCAGTCCTTTGTCTAAGAGGACATGCATGGTTTTAGTTCTTCTTTAACAATATGCCTGTGGCGGGACCAAGGCTATATAGGGCATGCCAAATGTTAGAATGCCAACATTTCCAAAACGTAGGCAGCAGTGGCCTAGATGTTAACGGAGGGTTATTAGTTGTAGAAAGAATTTGAAATTAATTTTCTGTAAGTATTTGAGAGACAGCAAAATTTTAGCATTAAAGTACAGCAGGAATGTTAGGTAGAGTTAAAAAGTTTAGATCTAAAGAAAATGTTCAAATGATAATCAATTCCTACATTTCTCTGCTACTTCAAGACAAATCTATATCTAAACCAAAACTATACTTCTGGAAACCTTAATCTGGGTAAACATACCCAGCTATCCACCAGGTAGATAGGGATTCTAGGTCTCCTAGGGACGAAAGTGGGTGCTGTTGTGATACACACCCCCTAAATGGGCTTTCAGAGAGGCTCGTGGAATATCTGTACGTGCAGTAATATTCAGATCATGCAACTCCTAATTGTCCAATCAAAGTGTTTCCATGGTGACATCTGAACCATGAGGGAGGTTCCTATCTGGGCACTATAGAACATGAGACACACCATAGCCAACCCCTTTTTTGGCCCCTTCCTTTGACTCTCCCTTTGCTGCAATGATGGGTCTGGTCATCATCTGTGGTGTATATATCACACTCTGCTAACCTATATCTTGCTTTTGCCCTATAATCCTATCTTTCTCTCCTCAATAAACCTCATTCTCATGCTTGCCTTACTTTGTCTGGTCATTCTTTGGCCACGAGCACACTAAGAACCAACATTTTCAGAGTAAAACCTGGCAGGTACGCCCTGATACTAAGGAGAAGTTTGATAAGTTACATATAGTCTATAATTTTGGCATTTAGTAATTTATTCATTCTTTCATCCAATCTTCAAATATATTAATATATTGAGAACTTTCATTATATCGGATTGTATACTAGTTATTGGGGTGCCACTGGTGAACAATATAGTTTTGCTCTCACACCTTAAAGTTTAGAGGAGAACTAAGTAAAGGGGAAGTTATATTGTAAAGTGGCAAATACTGTGGTAGAGGTCTTTGGAACCATTCGCCTTGAGATCAAGTACAGACATGCAATCAGATAATCCACTTAAGTGTCCCAGTCAACTACAAAGTCCCTCAGAATGAGATTTTTGCAGGGTTTACTTTTTCAAATTCTATTTCCCAGCAGGAAAAGGACTACATACAGCACTACCTGCCAGAAAAGTGATGGAAAATTCTTGCTGAAAGTATATTAGACTAAAATATGCCTGAAAGATACAAACCTGTATATATAAAGTGCAACTATGAAATAGAAACACAGAAAATGGTCAGAAATGCAATAAAATGTTAATAGTAGTTACTTCTGAAGTAGACTACAGAAGGATTTTTATATATATTTTATATATTTTTCAACATCTCCCACCAACCAAAAAGCAAATCTGATTTTTTTGGTTGCTGCTGCTGCTGCTGTTGGGCGTTTCATTGTTTGTTGTTGTTTTTAAAGAATGCCTGAACTATTTGCTATTTTACAGGAGCCTGAAAGAAACATTGGAAGTTGCAAAGGAAGCAGATTAAAAATAAGCATAGTAGCTTTTCACAACCTGATGATTGAAAAACAATCTTGTTATAGGCAATTCCTAAGGCTCTAATGCAATATCAGCTGCTGATACTTATGTACAAGCAGAAATTGTTGAGGGTGATAATTTTCTTTTTTTTTTTTTGAGACAGAGTCTCACTCTGTGGCCCAGGCTAGAGTGCCGTGGCGTCAGCCTCGCTCACAAGCAACCTCAAACTCCTGGGCTCAGGCAATCCTCCAACCTCAGCCTCCCGAGTAGCTGGGACTATAGGCATGTGCCAACCATGCCCGGCTAATTTTTTCTATATATTTTTGGTTGTCCAGCTAATTTTTTTCTCTCTTTTTAGTAGAGAGGGGATCTCGCTCTTACTCAGGCTGGTTTCCAACTCCTGAACTCAAATGATCCACCTGCCTCGGCCTCCCAGAGTGTTAGGATTATGGGCGTCAGCCACCGTGCCAGCCAAGGGTGATTATTTTTTAATACACCATTACTGATCAAAACACTTGGTAATTTTGGATCTACTTCCGGGAACCATCACAGCCTGAGAAAGATGGCACACCCTGAATGGAAATCACAGAGAATCATCTTAAGTAATAAAAGTCTAAAGTTAAACCTTTATTTAGCCTTTTTGCTTTCTCTTACCTTTACAACTCTTTTCTTCTCCTTCCTCAACTTTAGGTCACACCCTGGCCCCTCCCAGTTACATAACAACCTGCATTTCCTAATTTCTTTGGAATGTGACCAGTCAGGAAGGAATCTCAACATTTGATTTCTTTCTTTCTTTTTTTTTTCTATTTGTGGATGACAAAGAAAAAGAGAGTCAGGAAAACTAAACTGAGAGAGAAGAAAGAGTAGGGAGAAGGAAAAACAAGAAAACCATGAAGTCTAGAAGGAAAAGAAAGAAGAGGTGAATGTGTAAAGAAACACATTGCCTGGGAGACACTCATCTATTAGAATCTCCTTTCCATGAGAGATCGTAAGAGGCTAGATCCCCAATCTGTCTTAAAAGCAAGAAAAGGGTCCCTGTGACCTTTGAAACATACTTCTAGACTCAGCAATCTCTAACTTGTGACTGGTTCAACCCTAGTTTTGCTGCCTGTAATCTGTGACAGTGAAGATGATTCCATTTAAGATCCAGTTCAAGGAACTGTACACCTTGAGAAACTTTATATTGCTATTTTAAAGACCAATATTCTCCTAAATGAAATGTATCATTCAAATTTGGGCTTTTTAAGTACAAAGTGGAATGTCACCCTACTCTTACTCATTTTAGTAAAAGCGAAAACACCACTTAAAACAAAACAGTGCAGTCCAGATAGTTGTTAAACTACTATATACTGTGCAGAAAGTCTTCTTTTACCCCTTGGGTGATCGTGAGATAATCAGGAATCTTTTTAACTAAATCTAATAATCTCTTGTAAAGTTTTATTCTTTTAAACTTCCTGTTCCATTTGGCAATGCCAATCATGTTTTCTTTACCAAAACTATCTTTTACCTTGAATCTAATGACATTTAAATTGTTTTTTCATTTTACCATGTTAACTTCATCTTTAATTTAACATACTGCTATGGTCTAGTAGGTTCTTAATAAACCTATGGACTATATAAGTTCATTAAATGAAATATAATGATAGGACTTGGTGATTTATTGGATGAGAAGTAGGAAGAGGAAGGAACCAACAAGATTTCTAGTTTTCTACTTGGAAAACTGGATGAAAATAGCAAACAAAAGAGAACGAACAGGTTCGGAGAGACCTATGGGGTGTGGAAATAATGAATTCATTTTGGGCATGTTGAACTGCATTTGTCTGAGGTTGAGAAAGTTTGTGTATCTGGAAAACTTGAGAGAAATCTGTGCTACAGTTGTATATTGGGGAATCATCAGCATGTAGATGGCAATTAAAGATGCTTGAATGGTTTTCAGGAAGCTTGCCTATAACTTGAACAAGAGATAGGAGAAGTTTTGTCTCACATAGAGGTGAAAGACATCAGCAGGAAAGGATCCAATATAGAAAAATAAGAGGTAAAGAAAGAGCCACCGTGCCTGGCCTAAACATTTCTATAATTTGACCACATAGTGGGCCAGATATTTCAAAGA